TGGAATCTCACAATCACATAGCGAACATGGACAAGTGAATTTCTAAAAACTAGGGTTTTTCTTTCGAGCCGAGCGCTATTTTTCTCTCTCTGATCTTGTGTTGCTCTATAAAACCCGAATCCGCCCCTCTCTTGAATACTGTTCGCATGTTTGGGGGACACAGCTCCATCGTCCCTCTCTATCCTGGACTCGATTCGAAGCCGTGCTAGTCGTCCAATCGATGGCACAGCCTTCTCCTCTTTTCTTGAAACTTTATCCTCTCGACGTACCGTCACCGACCTCTGTCAATTCTATCGGTACTTTCAAGGGAAATGCTCAAGTGGAACTTCCCTCGTTCCGCCCATTCCGGTCCCAACTCGTGAAACCAGAAACAGTGCCAAAGAACGCTCTTTTCCTGTCCAACTTTCCACAAATCGTTCCGCTCTTTTCAAGTCTTTCTTTTCCCGCCGCACATCCCGTCTGCGGAATGCCCTTCTCAGTCACGTCATCCCTTCAACGTATGATCCCGAGCTCTTCAAGTCACGGGTTTATTTCCCCCCCCCCTCGAGCGCTCGCAGCCAGCAGGGTGGGGGTTTTTCATCACTCGGTGGGACTATCATTTGGGCAGAGTTCCAGCAAAATTAACGGGGGCACTCCGTAATGTTCCCTGTGAGTTCCATAACTTGATAGTATCAGGCAGCATTTATTCGGATAATCCCTGCTTTTTTTTTCGGTTTCTCTTCTGAGGGTCTGCTCCAACGCCAACTTCTTCAGACCTGTTGAGAGAATTTTCCTAGGAAGTATATCCTCACAGTGCGATACAAAGTATTGGTTCAAGCGTCTTACGGAGGCATTTCAGGAAGCGCGGTCGCTCTCTATGTTCTACCATTAGTATTCGGGCAGAACGAAGAATGCACCGCGAATCGCGAAAAACGCCTATCGATATACAATAACCAAATCTTCATATTCACTCTTCTCGGTTTGGGAACATCTATCACATGTCACCCACAGGAGAGCGGGCGCTGTATTCTTCACGGTGAGCCCTTCTGGCACGTCGCTTTTTATTGTCCCGAAAACCCAATGCTCCGAAAAAATCAGAGGCGCCTCGAAAACATCGAAGCTCCTAACGGGAGAGAAGCTCTCGCGCAGCCGGGGGTGGAATCCGAATCGGCGGATCGCCGGTGTTCATGTAGGTCAGAGGCGTTGCCCATAACCTTTTTGCCGATGGGACGTCTCGAGATTGAAACTTGGAAGTAGTCTGGAAAAGTCCGACAGGAACTCGGGTTCATGGAACTTGTATATTTCTGATACGGGCTCTTCGTTATACTAATATTATTACGCGAGTCGTCTTCCCTTAGCTAACAGTGTCTCTTTTCATTCATCGGGGAATGAGTTTTGATAATCATTGGTATTCGTTCTCGGAGAAATCCGGGTCGAGGTTCGCTGTATCCGAGGCACCTCTCATTTTTTCGGCGCAATGGATGTTCGGGACATTGGGTTTTCGGTGCAACAGAGGCAATGGGCACGTGTCCAGAAGCACTCACAAAATGCGGTGTTCAGCAAAAAAGAAAGCTTTCTTGGGACTTTCTTGAATTTTCACGAGACTTGAAGAGGGAAAGCAACGAACTCCCGGACTACTCGCGCAGACGTGGATTGGAGCGCTCGAAGGAGTGGAAGAGAGTCATTCGGCATCAACCCCACGGTCAATCAATCGTTCCATCAGTTTCTCACTCTCAAGAGCTTGCGAATGCCAAAGCAACAATGAATGAAAAGCTTTGCCGAAACTCAATCATTCCTTATCCGGTGCAAGAATCATATCCAGTCGAGTACAGTGCGACCCGCTCTACCTGCGACGATCGGGTACAAGCTCGTCTGACCGATTAAGCGCGTTTGCCGCGTAGGCGGATCTGCTGCATTTTCAAAACATGATACAGCACGGGGGAACGGGTGGCAGCGCGGAGAGCCGCACTGGAACCGCAGTGGAGAGCCGAGGCTTTCCCGGACATTTGCAGACTTAAGCTCCCGATATAAGCGATGAGGTATAGCTTCCTTGGACGGATCCTCAGAGCGTATGCACCCAGGGGGAACAAGGTCGGGACCTGCTTTTCTGCTGGCAAACGAACCCCCTCTTACGGGTATCTTAGGACGAGCCCATTCGGCAACCGTGATTGGTCTACGACTGAGGCCGAGATAGTTGCCGCCAGCGAAGCGGCTGAAGAGGCTGTCTGGCTCTGGCGTCTCTCCTGAGGAATAACGGAGTCAGATATGGTTCCCATGCTGTTTGTGGGCAACTCAGCCGCGGTGAGGCTCTCAGAAAATCCAGAGTTCCACAGAGGCGCGGAGCACATTGCAGTGCGTCTCTTTTAGCGTAGAACTACGCCATAGCCCACCCCAGTGGGTAGGGAAGGTGAGGTGCGAATCGCGAAAAATTGTCATAAACTTAATCCCTCGCGGAGAAAATTGTCATGGTCGAATATGCGTGACTCATAGTGAGGCATCGTCAGAAGATCATCCCGACCTCGAAAATCTCCTCGCCTGGGACAATAGACCAAAATATAGGCTCAGGACCATGATACTCGAGAACTACGCAGCCTAGCGAAAAATCGTTATGGGAGGAAATGTCCAGCCCAAGCAAAATGATCGCGGCTCGATTCCGCCAACTAGGCACGAGGAGAAGCGGACTCATGTCTCACTCTCCGAAATCTGTAATTTGGTCAATCGATTCGCGACCCATTCTGCGAATTCTTCACTTCCGGGGGTTCCGAAAGGCAAATTCATCTGACACGTCCTCCGAGCATCTTGATACTACGGGAAGCGGAGCTAGATCGAACCGGAACTCTGGCCCGGAATGAAATCATGGGAAAAAATTTTGGCTCTCATCGAGCCAGCCTTCGCACATTGGTCATGTGAGAAGGCAGTATTGTACTAAAACAATTTCATTTTCAAGGGAATCTTCTAGCTAGCGGACTATGACATCATCGGAGCACGCGAAAAGTCCTCAATCTGGAACGCTCTGTGGGGCACGAGACCATCCAGGCGTATGGAGCGGGGCATGGGGAAGAATATATACTGAATATAATAACTTCTTCAGTTATTTATTTCGTATTCTCTCCAAATCGGCATTTTCCTGTCCTAGTCCTGGCGAACGGGCTCGAATCCGAGCTCATTCTCATTGGTCGCGCCGTTTCCTGTCCCTCTCTCGCGCGCGCTAAATTCGAATTCGCGGGTTCATTATCAAAATGACTGCAGCCTCGAAGTGCTATCCCGGTTGGGGAACATCTACTCGTGTGAGAATTTTTCTTACGGCGCGGCGGTAAGGTTCGGCGGAAAGTGGAGCGTTTTGGTAGGTCGCCATTATTCAGTAAAAATGAAGCAGGAACTATGAACTATAAGGTGAGATACAACAGACCCCTGAATTGTATGGCACGCTATGGGACAGCAGTGCGCTCAAAAGTCGGCAGCCTGCCAAAGAGCAGTCGGCTCGTCTGAACGGCCAGAAAGTCATATCCAGAGCTTATTTCATTAAATGAGGGGATAGGAGTCCACTTCACTTCCGAGCACCCTCCGTTTCTCGTTTCTAGCTACTTTAGTTCTAAAATATCCAGATGTTCCTCCGTAATCGTGGCAGACGTTCTGACGTACTTCATAACGACTGCATAAAGAGATTCCGCTGCTTTCGAGCATCACGTTGACCTTCCTATCCTCAATCAGCTGATTCGGAAGTAGTCAAGAGCTGAGAAAAAAGCTTCTGATGAGATCCGCGACTGATTGACGTGAGGGGAGGCGTGAGGATGACGACTCGAATTCCCGGCTTCCAGCGACAGTGGAGTTATCAACGCGAGCATCTATCCCTGAATCGTGGAAGTCGCTCCCTGTCATCGTACGCGTGGATTCCAGCTCGAGTCTTGCAGTAGAAACTGGAAAACTTTTCTCTTCCGCTCCCTAGGTCGCCCGAATGCTCATCGAGCTGTACAGGATAAGCGAAGGAGAACGGAGCCGTTTTTTCGCCTTTTTAAAAAAAACGGAGCCGTTTTTTCACTTGACATATTTTCCACCCATGTGGTAGAGCTCGATGACCTGAGCATGTTGCTTAACCAAAGCACCACTCAAATACCGACGGTCTTCGAGCTATTCGCGAATTCCGATTCTCGGGATCGAATGTCTGCAACAGAGGCGGAAATAAACTGGAGCCGTTTCTCCGCCCTTTGAAAAAAAAATGGGGACTCGTTTCCGTGAATCAAAATTGTACTCCGAAAAGGTTACGTGTGGCAGAAAATCTCCGCTTTGAGGCACGATAAGTGTTCCCGACAAGAGCCGAACCCGGAGCGTGCTCCTTAGCCCGCAGGCTCGATCGAAGCTTGCCTAACCGAATCATGCAGGAGCCCCTGCCGAAAGAACTGTCCTGCTCTTGAAGTGGTTTCCATGCACTGTCATACGGGAGGGGGCGGACGGTCCGGACATGAGGCGCTACAAGCGCAGAACTTGAGATCATCATTGGTTGTTGTCATGGCAGTATCCCATTCGGACTTCGGAATTCCCCGGTTCTAGGACTCGGGCGAGGGAGAGCCATGCACTTCGAAAGGAATGACCCGCGCGTCCCTCTAGAGACTCCCAATTTGGCCCTCGAGATTCTCGGGAGGAGCCTACAGTGCGCTAGGTCTTCGATGAAATCTACGGCAGAGGAATGTTATCTCCCGACAATCTTCATGAGATTCCAAACCTGAGCTGGGCAGACCCGCGTCAGCAATTTTATTCCACGCTGCAACCCGAGGCTCGTTTCGTCTCATTCCTCAGGAGAGAAATTCCTCCATGGAGGATCATTTTACGTGGATTAGTATTAATCCGCCATGTCATTCGAGACCTATCTGCGGGCACTTGCGGAACGGGTCTCGACTCTGGCTGCTCCACCTTGTTTGAATCCATTCGTTCCCCTCTCAGCACCATGCGGAGGGTAAGGCCGCCCAACGTACATAAACTCCCTCCGCATGGAGGACTCCCTCTCGCTCTTCCGGAATGACCTCTGTGTCCCGACAGAGAAGATGCAGCTCCGCATCGGATTCGTTCTGCTCTGTCTAGTGTTAATGTTTGTCGGAAGCCACTGCACCACGGAAGTAAGTAAACCGTTCTAACTCGACCATGCAACAAGCAACCGATACAATCACCATCGACCCCTGCGCTGGTCGAGGGAAAGACTTCGGTAGCCCATGTCAGCAAGGGCCTCGATCATTCGGGTGCGGCGTCTAGCCATATGATTGATGTCATCGGCGGAAATTTTGTCCTGAGGCAGGAACTTTGTTTGCAGGCAACTACTCGAAAAACACGCTCAGGATATCGCAAACTAGGTCTGTACATCCTCGCGAATCCTCAGCGGGGAGTGCTCTCGAGAGTGCGACAGACCTGCGGTCTAATTCGCGGAATTCCAAACTATAGTTCAGATCCTTCTATTTCTCCGCTCACCTCGCGAAATCGAGGGACTATGACTCTAACTATGATTTCTGTCGTCTCAGATCGAAGAGAGATCGAAGAGGAAGAGCTACGTGTCTTGGCTCAATTCGCAGCGAGCACACTCGCAAAAGCCGAGAAAAAACCGTATCATGACACCGTGCTCAACATCACCGAAGCTCATCAGCAAACCGTGGCCGTAAGTCGACAGAAAATACAAGTGGAACCGCTATTATTCGCGCGGAACTTGCCCTGATTATCGAACTTGATGTCATGCGGCGAAATGACGAGTATGAGTCGATATTCCTTCCAGGGATGGAATACCAAGATGAGACTGTTGATGACCGAGACCGGCTGCCCGATCCGCAGTCGATTCGATGCCGCTCACTGCCCCCCGAAAAACGGTACCATACCGCGCAGCTGCGACGTCGTAGTTTATGAACGCCCATGGGAGCACATCAAGGAGCTGACTTCGTATTACTGTCACGAGCAACAATCATCCAACTCTACAACAGTCTAGTTTCTCAATTGAATTTACTCTTGTGTCAGTTTCAATCTCTAGCGAGGTACCTCTACAGATGGCATTCAATAATCTCTGCTAGCCATGAAGGTTACAAACAGTGATACAAAACTAGCAGCACCACTTAAAAGTTCCGCCCAACCGTCCAGCCTACAGCTCATGTCGGCGACAACTTTTTCTCATTCCATGACGATGAAGTTGATGGCAGCTCTCTTCTCACCAAGAGTTTCTTCTTCTACATGTGAATGTTCGTAGGTACACGGATTACAGATACGAGACGGAGCATTCGGACTACATCACGCGTAGCAGACATATCAATCCCTTTCCCTTTGGGTATTTCTTCATGATTGAGGGTGGAGGGAACGTAATTCGTCAATCGCCACCGTCAAATCAAGGCAGCTCTATTTATTCCTATTTCTACAAATATAATAACATCGAGATGATAGTAATCTACTTCGAAGATGTTGGCTCTTTTCGATGTGCAAAGACCACGGAGCAGATGCGACATCTGCTATGAAGAGGAGTCGATGTCGACTCAGATAAGAGGAAACTGGAGAAATAAATTCATCGGCGATGAGGACCCTCATGTATTCGTTCTGTTTCTAGTGGGGTTGAGAACTGGCTATTGTTCTCTAAACGGGGATCGATCCACTTGGATTTATAAAAGCTTCTTTATTTTTCAAGTTCTCGGAAGACAATAATAAAGCTGCTCTCAATATCCTTGCATCTCGGACAAGATGATTTACACTCGATGACCCATCCAATCCGGGGATGAAACTCCAACGAACTAGCATGTACCATGGAAAGTTGCGGGCTATGATGAGGAACCGACACGTGGATAATTGTCTGCACGTATCATACGTTTATCAAGCTGTGCGAAATTTCTAGATTCGGCGTCGAAGCTGAGGCTTACGAAAAACTACCGGTGCTGCTGCAGCAAGGCTCGTAGCGAAATCTCAGGACAGCACAACGTATTATACATATATATATATATAATCCATAAAACAATAGCAGGTATATGCAAGTCGACGCAGGTTCGACGTGGCAGCGACGAATAACTGTAACAATTTGACACCTGAGTTCGGTTCAGGATCGACAATATACAATACGGAGATAGATTGACCTCTCAACCAGAGAACCCTTTGGTCCTCGCATGGATTGTCGAGAGCTTCCGAGTTCGTTCCGACTCCTGGAGTGAGGTTGACGGGGAGGAACTAGGGATGAGGGAAGAGTGACGCGAGACAACAGTGCAAGCCAAATAAATCGTGCGCGGTTCCCACGGCGCGCGTCCTTCCCGAGACAGATGAGTTTGAGCAGGAGGGATTGCCGGGAAATATATGAATCTCTCATGAGATGGAATAATATTCCTGATGCGCGACAGAGAGGTCAGAGAGAGAGAGAACTGACCAACAAAGCTCTCCTCCCTGGGAATGTCCAAATCCAATACTCCTGAGACAGAGGTCATCGCAAATCAACCATCAGCCCTGACGATCCGGGGTGTAGACTCTTATCCCCTACCCTGACGCCTAGGGACCGGTACTGCTGGGAATCAGGCGTCAGTCCGATGTGACGCTGAATGCAATGTCAGATAGCCAGAACATTCTGATGAGCTGGCGAGGCACAGAACCGCAGGAACCCGAAAGTCGCGACAATTTCCAAGGTCAGTCTGAATTCTTCCTATGACACGAGCTGTTTGACGATTCTACCTATTTCGCGATTGAAAACTTCTTGCAGGTCGCTAGAGGGTTCGCACCATTCAAGAACATACGAAATCATTGAGGATACCGTATCGCTCTTCTGGGAGTGGGGTATAAGATCCCGGTGACAAATCATCTCTCAGCTTGCGGCGGGCGCAACTCCGACCGAATCCACCGAGTCAGACGGCTCCCAGCAATTTACGTGGACTCCACGCATACGGGCTCGCTGACGTTAGTGCTGGTGGACACGCTGTAGATGAGATGGTATCTTGATCACTGATCCATCGGGTCAATCCACGAATGAATGATGAGCGAGTCGCACGATAGCCGACTCCCATGGCCGCCACCGCCGCCGCTAAAATCGATGTCGTTCCTTGATCTGGCCCGGAATTTTCTTCTTCCTCGTCATTTCTGCCCTTCTTCAATTAATTTACGCTCCTATGTACACTTAGACGCCACGTCCGTGAACGTCGCCTTGAAGTCTATGTCATTCGGGTCGATAAAGGTACTAGTCGCCCGTTCCTAGTTTGATGGACACGCCTCCGCAGGGGGCGTGCAGAGTAATTGCTATGTAGCATGAGTGGCGGACCCGCCTCCTCGTCCACCTCCGCTACCTTCTCAGGCGTCCTGAATCTCTTGCACGTATGTCTTAGGGAAGAAACCGAATTGATTGTTCAGCTGACCTTTCCACCAACCCCTCTCATCGCCTTCCTTCGACAAGATTGCTACTCGTTCACCTGTGGGAAATCGATCCACCATGTTATCGCGGAGAAAAAATCCCTCCCAGGAAATTATGCCAAAGTATCGCACGGCACCAACGAAAGGTTCTATCAAACCGAAATTACGCACCTTTGGCAAGCGGCAAGAACTGCGCTTTCCCCTGATCGCTGGATGCTGTATGGCTCGGTTCGAAGTCATGAACAACGAGCGCATATGAGATCACAGTTGGACCACCACTGACGGCTTTGTAGGGTGTTCGTAGGGTCTCATCCAAACCCGCGAAACTTTCCGCGAGCGTGTGGTCCTGGTACCAGTTGATCAGGTCGGGAATGGTCCGGAACAGCTTTTTCTTGCAGAGATAGAGGAATTCCCCCGTGCTCGAAGTTCCCGGAGCTTCTCCAACAAAACTGCACACCCTCATGTGCTTGACAGTGTCGCCTACTTTCAGAGATATAGCATACCCGGGAGCTCCCTGCTGGCCCGAAAGCTGCTTGTTGGAAATCCGAACCAGGAAAGTCCCTTGAGGACAGGGTTCCAGAGTAGCTTCGGCTCGCTCGCGACTCATCGTGCCTAATCAGAGGTCGAATATTGTCAACAAAATCGTTCAGCTCCAAACAAGATTCTTCCGTTTTCGAAGTGAGAGATCTGTCTTTGATCGTGAGAGCGACAGTACGGAGAAACATACCTGCGAACCATGGGTGCTCATCGAGATTCATTTGACCAATCTCTTCGACGTACTGCGCCGGGAAAAAACCGACGTTGTGGCCCAGACGTCCTTCCCAGAGAACGACGCTGACTTTCCGAGTGACATCAATGACGTTCCCTTTTTGAAGGGCAGATGAGCCTCATTGTTAGCGCCATTGTAATTCTGTTTGGCACGTGCAACGGCGATCGTCGGAGAATTCAGAGATAAGGGTAGGGGAGTGGAGCTCGCAGCCGACTGTATCTGGCAAACCTTCGAGTGTTGAATGCAGTCGCGATGGAGTATTTTGTTACAGCTGGAACGAAGAAGGGGAGAGTGAATTTTTTCCCTTTGCCTCGAGCACGGGGGGCCGGGCAAAAAAAAGTCTCAAGATTGACAGTAACACATCGATCAGAAATTGGCGAATGAGAACCCTCACCGACTACAGGAGTATCCTTGGTAGAAGATGCCCTTCATGAGTTTGTTGCAGTGCGAACAGTACGACGGAGCTTGGAACGTTGTCATATCGAGCCGCTCGTGGTCGGTCTGCCGCGCTGCCGGTGGATCTAAGTTGTCCCTGCGGAGAACCAGTCGTTTTCTTGCTTGTACGGATCGCATCATAGTGAGCTTTCGGGAGGACCATGAGCTCGAAGAGTTCAATTCCATAAGTTCGATTGACTCACAGAGCTTTCTGAATGCCCTCCATCCACTTCAATTTATCATCAAGGGTCTTCGTGGCTATCGTGTAGGCAGTCTTCTGGTCGAGATGTACCAGCAGGAACTGGAACTGCCACGACTTCGCGTTGACCAATGCGGAATTACTCGAGCTCGCGGCACCGCTCATGGGCTGGCAGTCTTCAACCCGGTAGGTGGACAAGGATATCGCCTCCTTATACACGTACTGGTCGCCCTAGAAGACGCGAGGCCGGATATGAATTTTTGTTGGGTGCATCTGACATGGAGGCAAGGAATGAGCCCGAAACCGGAAAGCCTGACACCGATGAGCAGTTTGCTCGAAAGCACGGGGGATGAAACAAAGTGACGAGGCGTCGGATCTCTTCAGGTACTAGAATCGATTACAGCACACCCAAATCCTTGCCGATGAAGCTCTCATTTCCGGTGAGATTAGTGCGCGCAATCTTTAGGTCGGACTAATGTTAAACGGGTTATTCTGCATCTAATCTACTCACCCCAAGCCACTTATCCACCATCTTAGCAGTTTGAGTAAAAATCAGAGAAATATCGAGAGTTAGAGATCGAAAATGTTAGTAAATCTACTGGAGGGGATTACGATCTTTCGATCAAGCTTGAAGCGAGCTTTGCACGACAGCATCATACCGAGAAAAGGAGTGAACTCGTAATCGAGCCCCCAAGGACCAATAAGGATTTCCGGCTCTGCTCGAAGAATTTGTATCGGTCAAAATAAAGGGTAACGGAGACGAGACGCAGAGAGAAAAAAATACAGAACTTGGGGAAACATCTCCCACGCTATGTTTCCAGACCAAGTCCGAGACATATTCGCAAACCCTTGGCAAGTTCTCAATAAACGGAGTACATAATCATCAATTTATGAAAATGTTGTGCAAAAAGTGCAGAGATCGAGTTTTGGGGTGAGAAATCCTGCACAACTTGGCATCACGGCGATGTCATCATCACTTCATACCCTATTCGCTAGATACCAGACCCGTTCCATGTACATATGCGATCAAAGAACAATCAACGACTCGACAAACTCATGGAGCACGCTACATGATCCGTAAGCACTCACCTTGGTGGCTTTACACAGCAAGAGCATTTGATCGAAAACAAATACGTAACGGTTCTTCACTCCTTGATCTTTGTGGCTTTTGACTTTGACTTCTCCGTCTTTCAGTAATCGCCCGTAATCTCTCAAGTTGACGTTTTTAGGCAGATTATAATCGGTGATCGAGTTCTGAATGTCTGCAATTATCTGGAGCATCTCTGAGTCTCGTTTGACCTCATTAATGTAGGCCGAAAGATCCTGAAAGATACGGGACGCAGAGTCAGAGGAGACAAACACTCATCCCTCCGGTCCTCTATGGAAGACCAATCGGAATGAAACTTGTCGAGCGCGGTCGACCGATGTTCGGTTGATCTTTCTGGGTATCCGTCCGGAGAGAATGTTGCCGATATCTATTTCCTAGACCCGGGCTTAAATTTTTCGCGAGCCACATTCGAGCGCCGCAGGTGCCCGCGGGCTAAATTTCGTACGGGCCACACACTTTCGTATAAAAGGAGAATATTCGCCTATCGTCCATGAAAGAATGCTTTTCCAGCCCCCGGATATCGAGGGAAAACTCATCGTTCGGTCTTACGGAGGGATTAACTCCACCGATCTGATTCGATTTCCAAGCATTCATTCGAAATGGTCGGCCTCGAATATGTGGGGAAATAGTGGCGGGCCACAAAAGAAGACCTCGCGGGCCACATGTCGCCGGAGGGCCACGGATTTGACACCCCTGTCCTACACCATCTCGCCTCTCGATGGCATCGATCGGTCTCGGGTTCGAAATGAAGCACGACGGAATAATTAATGGACGGAACAACGATGCGACTCATTGACCACAATATGAGAACTCTTGGAATGATCTCTCGGGACTGTGAAGCTCAAACGCGCCGATGAATTCCATCCTTCGTTGGGCGATCGTTTGATGTTTCGGACGAGCGACGAACAGGAGTCGCCGATTGACAGCATGGCAGATTTTTATGCTCCAACGACTACTCACCAGCATCGCGTCGAGTGCCTTCTCGAGGCCCAGATAATCGTCGTGTTGTGGCAGAGTATTCTTGACAAGCTCTTTGAGCAGCAGATGATATTTGAGTACGCGCTGGATCGGTACACATAGCAGAGTATTGAGCTGGTAGCGACCGTCATTGGTTTCCCGTTGGCACCTGGAAGAATTAGAGGGCCATTCAATGCGCGCGAAACCGCAGCCGGAACTCACTCTCTCGGCTCGAGACCGCAAGAATCTAAACCTCCCGGAAGAGCATCCGTTCCGTGGTCACTAGCTTCCTGTCCCGCGGATCATATGGGAGTATGAGAGGACTCTCACTTATCGATGGCTTGAGCTACAGCGTCGTTCTTGGCCAAGAGCTCTTGTAAAAGCTGCTGGGCTCTCGGATAGTTCGAACAGTATTCTCCGTAGATGATGAGCGAGTTCTTCCAGCGTAAGAAGCATTCTGAGATTCTGCCATTCGGGACCTGGTTGGCAACATGGAGATCCGCAAGGAGACCGGTGTGCACGTCGCTTAAGGTTCTGATATGCTTGAATATAACGCCAGCATCGTCGCGGCTCATCGCTTGCTCAAGGGGCTGTTGGAACTTTTTACGGATCATCTGGAGGGCTTGAATATAATTTTTTTCCGTTTCCAGGAGTTCTTGGATGCATAAATCACGTTTTTCCAGCGGCACCTGAAGGATAGGTATCATGATCACTCTCTCAGACTATTATCTCGAATTCGCCTTTACTCCGAGGGATTAATTATAGTCTCGATGAGTCAGAATCGATGAGGATATCAACATAAGATGAACCCTAGAAAATCATTCTACTCTGGCGAATAAAGAGGAGTAGGGCGGGAAGCCTTATTCGGGCAGGTGAAAACAAACAAACAAAACAAACCGTTTTGGGTTTCGGGGCACTTCTGGGAGCAACGCAAATTTTGTGATAAATTTCTTCTTCCTCCGTGACGCGAGGATGTTTCGGTCCATGACCATTCAGCCTGAACGGTAATGAAACGAAAAACAGAGTCGATCAAGGCTCCCGAAACATCTCTTCTAGGTACCTGAGGTTTTGGCTTAAGTTTCAGTGAGACATAGCAGAGCTCTTCGTAGAGGGCGTCAGCATGAGACTTCCCCTTAGAATCGTGGATTGGGAACGTAAAAGCCATGTGAGTTGCTTCACTGTCGCTGCAGCGTGCGGTTAATTCGAAGGTTAGTAGAGAAAGATCGGCGTTCTCTTGAGCTCAGTCCAATGAAAGGGTATCAAAGAAAACATTTGAGGCGAGGAGTCGAGTGGTCGCAACATTCCCACTCAAGATCTCCGCGTAGCCTTTAGCGATCAAAAATACACGGCAACTCACCCGTTGGTATCGAAGGAAGTCCCATTGTGAGGCGTGTCCTTGAGGAACACACTCTGATTATAGTATTCGCTATTCCCGACGGATTTCGGCGCGGTGAAGCCCCTACGAAGAGGGTCTAGTTAGACCGGCAGCGAGTGATTCGCCTCGGAAATTAGCTAGGAGCGGAGAGTAGACCGTCGTACGGAGTAGGTATCTTACACTCATTAAGGAGCCTCCGAAACGATTCATGGAGCACTCACTTGACACCGAATTTGGTCGCTTCTGGCGAATTGGATAAGACTGAGAGAGAATGCAAGACTTGTTTGAAGTCAGTGTATTCGAATAACATCTCGGGCTCGAACAAATCCATTGGTGATGTGATTCCTAGAAGGGAGGAGCATTTAGCGAGGCATACATATACTAATCGCTTCTGGCAGATTGAACGCCCTCAGATCGATAGCGCTTTCTGCGAAAGATTCTGACAAACAATATTCCTCACCGAAAGTATTTGTGAGAGCTTGTAGGAAAGCTCTGATATTCTTGTTGCACAGAAACTGCGACATTTGGGGTCGAAGCGACATATCCTTATGATCCATGCACCCAGGATGTAATTTCAGTGCTAAATTACACAGAACCACCCCGTCCCGGAGGGTGTATGCGAGGTTTTCCACCTAAATCATCCAGGGTATAATTTTCAATCAGATTGAAAGGTTTACAGACTTGTTCACGGCTAGGATCGAGACAAGAGCAAGAATCGATTTGGATTTATTCACTACAATCCAGCGAGCGTTACTTCTGTGCTACAGGGAGGTGTATCCCGGCTGTCGCACGTCTTTGCGAGAGACCAGTGGATCAGGTGGATCGCGAGCTACTCATTCCTGCATCTATCGAATGTTTCAAAGTTGCAACTATGCAATCCGGATCAAAATGAAATTCTCGCTTACCCTCGCATCGGGCCACGTGACTCGGTGGTCGGAAGGAATCATCTCAAGATCCACGAGCCACCGAACGGCTTCCCTCCACAAGACGTCATCGTCACTCTTCTCGAGCACGGGGCTCGACGGCCCCGCAGACGACATCCTACGATGACGACGTAGATCCTCACAGCTGCTGCTGCTCCCGTAGATCGTTCGGCATTCTATAACGAATCGGAACAGAACTATAGTCACCTGATTGACATTATCCATTGTTTCATCTCCGCGACAACCTATCCCGAATGCTATCTACGCATCGCATGGAACTTCAGCCCCGGAATCGCCGTCGACTGGAAGCAATTGATTCCCGAACGCGAGGATCAGAGCGCTGCGGGATCTCCCGGCGTCTCCCCGTCGTACTCGATTCAAGATGCGTCGGTAGAAGTCAGTCAATGGCTTGAATAGGGACAGAGGTCGTTTCTATTCCGGACTTGCTTCGATCCAATCGGAAGTGACCGAATCACGGCAGTCGACCGATCGGTGGGAAGATGTACCCTAACTCGACAAAGAATACCTAAATTCAAGTCTCGGGTCACAGCCGCTTAAAACTAGTGGGATGAAGAGTTTCTGAGAATCCTGTCTCCGAATCGCTGACGTGAAAATGAAAGCAACATTCCACCGAAGCCAACGTCGAATGTTTCGCTGACTGCGTGAATAGTCGCGAGATACACAGATTAGGAATGATCTCCTCGAGGACGCGATGAGCGACCGGCTTCCGTTTTACTGCATGAATAGACTGACCGACTGGTTGATCGTCCGATGTGAACAAGAAAAGCGGCTGCATCCCATGAGAAGGAAGATATCGAGTTTTGCTAACAGCGCAGAGACTTCGCCATAAACATTGAATCGGCAGTTTACAGCACAGCAGGAACGGAGGACGATGAGCTGGCCCCGGCGGATCTCTCCACAGAAACACGACCGGCCATTCGTTCCTTCGAGTGAACGAACCAGAGAGCCTCCGGCATCTCTGCCCCCGTCCTTCGGAACGGCTGGAATTTCCGCTCGCGGCAACTCTCGAGACGCGGTTGATATCCGGTCGTCTCGGGAATGGGAATGATTCGTCCCAAATAGGATCAGGAGAAGCCTTTGCCAGCGTAGATACTTCTAGGCACCTTCCGTGGTCGCATTCGGAGACGCTGTTTCCTGCACAGTACGTCGCCGGAGGCGTATCCGGAGGTAGTGTGTCAATGCGTCGATCGAGAGATTAATACCGGTGATATGTTTTCTCGAGTGGTTTCTTTCGGCTCCGGGCCAAGGATTGGACTTTGAGCCGATCTCCCGACGACGAAGTGATCTGTCCTGTTTATCCAGTAACATACGCTGCGCAGCGCGAAAAGTTGTCGATCACCAGGCGATATCTGTGTAGATGAAGCGCCGTCCTCTTCCTCTGAAGTCTTCTTCGTAGAAGGCAACGGGATTCCAATTGTGGAGAGAGAGTAAGAATTCCGTGGCGACCACTCCGCATAGGTGAAAAACCGCTCCAAATGGGTTTCACATTGTCTCATTCGGATGCTTGCGACCTATGGAAATCTTGGCGCTCAATCTCTGAAGAGCTCATTGATTCCTCTTGATCGCCCTACCGCTGTCTTGAGGGAATGATCTCGGAGTGGAGCTCGAATTTCAGTGGAAACTTCTGACGCAGACTTTGCCCGATTGGGAAATCGGAAACCGTAGCCTCTCAGCCGCCACGCTCCTTGAGCTTGGGATAGCGGTTTCCTCTGAGCCTCTGAGGCTTCTTGCTCTGTTGCGCTTCAAACAGTAAGGAGATTAGGGAAGAAATTAATGACCTGACACCTGTTCCATTTCTTGGGGGCACGAACCTTCTTTCCGAGTACAGAGAGAAAGCCTCCTCAAATCGGAGCCTCACACACGCGTTGGAGGGTCATCATTCCAAGGCACTCCGGTGCACTCTCTAGTTCTTTGTGAATTATAACAACACACTCTCTCGGCGGAGTGACGTTTCGTCGTCGCTCGAGAAAGAAACATACGGAGCGGCGCAGGTCCATAGAAGCTTCGCTCTGGGATGCAGCCTTCGGAGCCGATCTAACTGTTGCTATGTGCTCAATGCGTTCCTCTCCATGGAGAGGCTCAGGAAAAATGTGGGGCTCCGATTTCGAACATGACGGAGGCCGCTTCCGATGTAACCCGATTCAGATGGCCATTGAGTGTATTTTTGGGGGAAGCGTCGCCTGATATTCGATTGGCCCAAACTTTTCTTCTGCAACAAAGATCCTCTGCGTAGGATCACCTGAGAGCTATCCGAGCGCTCTCTCGAGCTATAAGAGATCGAAAGTTTGGCGCATCGGTGCCACGAATTTAGACCAGCTGCCGGAAATGAGACTCGAGAGATCGTTCGAGCCTCGACAGAGATCGGACAAGGAATCAGCTGTGAGCGGCAATCAGTTCTTCCATTCGCCGCCTCCTCCTCTTCTCTGGATAGCTTCTATGACAAGCCCTCGGCGTAAAAACTCGCGGTTCAGTGTAGGACATCGGGCTTCTGATCGGAATTCGGCATACTTGTCCTGGAGAATGGATCTCATTTCTGGGAGTCGAGTAGGGAGGAGCTCTCTCAGGGAAGCAAAGGATAGGGTTCTTGTCTAAAGATTTCGGTGGTTTGAATGCTCGGGAAGAGGGGGCCTGTCAACTGTCTACCAGACAGACTCAATGAGACCCAATGATGCCCATGATCCCCGATTGCAATTCGAGGAGATTCAGGCGATCCCGGTGAATCCTCGCCATTCCGGAATCTCCGCCTGGATTGTGAATGGGGGATCCGGGCGGCTGCCGCGGCTTTTTCTTCCTCCCATGCGGGAAGCTCAGAGAAATTGCCCCTCATACTCGAGGCAGCAGCACCCGTATCTATTGGAGCGACGGCGCGGTGCTCTCGTATTTGGTTGGCAACTCTATTTGTTATCGAGCCGGGGCATTCTGCGCTGTCGAAACAGAAGATCCCCAACCACTATCCAAGATTAAGTCTGGAGCGTTAACCTATGCCGGAGGAGGAGCAGCAGCGATGAAGGGGGAGATCCCCTCCCCAGTCGGCCCGTGCCCTATCGCTCGAGCACCTACTTCCGCTCCCGTGTAGAACTCCAGGCCGTGTTTGTGATCCGAGGAAGAACCGGTGGAACTTGGGAAACTCCGCTGTTTCACTTCGTGGATTGTGATCAGTGATCAGACCTGAGGATAGAGCCGATGCTTGAAGACAGCGTCCAAATCTCCGACGACTGCACTCAGATCAAGCATCAATTACTGCGAGCTTCGTGATAGAAGACTTTGAGATCTGGGCGAGTTCTTATGATGCAGCTCGTATTCCCAGACATACGGCTCTTCGGGTGTTCGACGAGCCGACTAACCCGAAACTTCTAATTCCGGAAGGACTTCTCTCATCGATTCTTTCAGAAACTACTGTTTGCGCTGAACGAGAGTCTCCTCAGACCCAAGAGATCTAGGCATTGGATTTCGTCGGAGGCCGCAACGGTGCCACTCGAGCGCGGGTTGGCACCGGCGCCCATACCGCCTAAAGAAAGACCCGTTCGCCGTCGACTACAGACCCATTGCATGCTCCGGCGATCCACAGTGCTCGAGGGAGGTCGAGCACCAGAAATACCTATTGCGAACTCCAGGAACGATGCTGTTCCGCTCACTCCTCGAATGAGTCCTCGGGAACACGGATGCTTAGAGCCTCAGAACTGGTCAAGGAGATTTGATGCCGTAGTTTTTGGCCGACCCACGGCCCGCCATGCACTTCACAAGAAGTGTTGCTAGCGGAGTCCGTGATCGCGACGCAGGACACATCGGGGCCGATCCCGATTCCCTCGGAGGACTTCGTCTGCTGAGTGGCTCAGGGGTCCAAACTAGACATCTGGTCGATTCGGAAACGGCTCTGGGAGTCCTCCCTCGGAGGTAGGCTTCAGGTGTTAAATATATACAATTGTATATTGTGTATTATATCATGAGTACTTATCCAGTCCATCTTCTCGGGTTTTCCGCTCGTTCTCCCCGTGCGGGAGCATCCGCAGGATCTCGTCGATGAACGGGAGAGTACAGTGAATTTACCGACCGGCGGAGGAGTAGAGGATGTGCCGGGGTATCTCGGTCGTCCCGCTTCCCCACTATCCGAGGCGAAAGCTTTGGAAATCTTTCTTCTGACACCGGCCCACAGATTCCGGAGCACCAAGTGCTCTGCATTGTCGCTCAGAGTTCGAGTTTGACGGAAAGCCTCGGAGTGTGACATTGAATAACAAGAGGTATCCTAGCGTCTCCTGCTCTAGATTTGAAGTTCTGACGGAATTCAAGGTGGATCTTACCGAAGTTTCCTAATGTGTATGCATAGAGTCGGTTGCTAGCGCGGCGAGCGGCTCTGCATACATGCGAGGCGCGTTTCGGGTGACGGGTTATTCTCAGGCAGGGATCATCACCATCATCTACGTCTGATGACTGGTCTGCAATCGCGGTCTCATTCAACTTTCACTTCACGAAATCTCTCCCTTCAATTGTACGATCGAGGGCCCTCTTGGGGACGCATGCTCTCGCGCCAGAGAACCGCAGGTCCGGAGAGCACCGTGCCGCGCTCTCGTATTTTCCGGAGTCCCGTTTTCTGACTGTGTATACTGCGGGTTGCGGCGGTAGCTTCATCCGCCTCCTCTCTTGTCAAGCTAGCTTCTATGACAGACCTTCGCCTCGATGTTCCCAGCAGCGGCAGCAACACCACCACCAAGGAGCAGTAGAAACCGTCACAAGTCACAATCTATAGGCCCCATGGCTCCGCCGTCGAGTGTTGTGTCCCGTCGCAAATCTTGAGCCGGGTACATTCAATAAGAATGGCCGGGGATCCTCAAGACTCCAGGATAAGGTTTGTCGAATTTCGAATTCTCGAAAACGTTCGAAAGTTCCCTTTTCGGGGTCAAGTCGGTGCCCTTAGTGGTCAGCTGTTTTGTCGTGAACTCCGTCGGGAGGTGATGTGGAATCAATTTCTGATGGATAATCGATAGTGATACCATGGTGGATTGTGATCTCGGATGTGATTTTCAGGTTGGAGCCCGACAGAGTGTTCAGTCTTTTTGCTGAGGTCGCGCTGCCGACGCAAAATAATGAGCAGCCGTGGGTGCTCCGGACTTTTCCTCAAAATTTTGACAAGCATCAGATTCTCAAAATGGTAAGTGCTCTCAAAGCAGCCGGTTGGACGGTAATCAAGTAGACGAGATTGAGGAAGAGCTCTCTATTCCTGCTCGAGATCCCCATATGGGCTGTCTCTATCGATAAATGAGCGGCAAGCAGGAACGCCGTCTAGATATCCATTCGCCGAGATCATGCGTCATTCCATCCAGTTCGTTGTCCGCCGTTGATTCTTTCATCTTCCATCTATGCCTCGTGTTCGCGAAGTGGACCGTGTGAACACAGACCCAAATAAGAAATGTGACGCAATGGACGCCAGAGATCGACCGAACGCGACGGAGTTCGATTACACCGACAGCGTGTGAAGGGCTCGTTATCGAAGCGGGGACGGGTTGAGATTGTCAAGGATCGGGCTAATATCGCACTTCGACACTTTGTGGCCATCTTCCGATGCGGAAGTTCGGGGGCGTCTGTCTGTAAAAGTAGTGGGAGGTCTCGCTTTCTTGCGTTTCGCTGATCTTGTTCAACGCACATTTTGCGGACTTACCGCTGTGTTGCACCGGCCCGGCGCGCTAGTCAGACGCTTCTGACAGGCGACTCCGTTGGCACAAGAAGCCAATCGTTCAGCGAAAACTACGAAAAAGATGTGAATGGCCGACCCAATATCTGATTGTTTGTCGAGGATTTTTTCTCCTTAGCCGCGATCTGAAAGCTTGAGGATTTTTCGGTCTCGCTCGTCGGCTAAAACGCTCTTTCACGAGAAAGATTCGTCGGACCCGCATACGCAGCTCATGGGATCCTAGAAAAATTGTCACGCACCTTTCCCGAGCACTGACGACCCTGAACTCCGATTCCGAAGAAGTCATGAGCAGCCTACGGCTCTCGTGATCGGAAGAGGAACCGATACGTTTCACCGGTGGAATACTCAATATCCGTTATGAATGGCGCCTTCCACGAGCGTAGTAACTTCCATTGATGATGATATAAGATGATGGTGATAAGATCAGCCTCACAGATACCGCGAACTTTGAAGCGAAATCAAATCAAGGATTCGCGACGGTTCTTTGATCTATCATCCGGTTGCGGTCGCCTTCCTTGGAGCTTATCACTTATCATTATCCCTTACGAAAGCAAGTCCGCCGGAAAGTGCCTGAAACTCTAGAAACGAGATGAGTAACTCGGCTTCGTGGATTTTCCCTCGACAATGAATGTTCGCTGTACAGATCTTGAGGACGAAGAAGACACTCGCGCGGAGGAGCTCGCATGAACGGGGAAATGCTGAGACATGATCTGGCTTGTGACACGCGTCGGGTAGCTATCGCTCGCTAGCGATATTCCTTGCAATATCGGGTTTCGGAGGAAGGGTTCTCATCGATAGCAGACCTCGAATTGTATCCGTCGCGTGAGAATAAAGGACCGATGATGAGTCTTACTGGTCAATGAATTTGTGTCTGGAACGCCCTTGTTAACGTTCGTGGCCCGCGGAGAACTGTTTGCAGCTTTTGTTTGCCACTCCATGCCGACACCAAACATTGACTCAACCCAAGGTGTCATCGAACGTTCTAGCCTCGTCTGACTCGACTTCAAGTTGAGATCCCTCTGTCGACGGGAACATATTTTCTATCGGTACAGATATCATTTAATATTCTGGCCGCTTGGTACGGGTCCAGATAGGCGTTGTTTCGGCATCACGAAGTGAATTAGATGTGTACAAGAAAGATTCGTTTTCAGGTCGCACAGTCAGCCGTTCCCGTATCGGCCGAGCATGCCGCCTCAATTTGTCAGGGCATGGTCACTCATTTTTCCTTTGTCATCACTGCTGTCGACTCAAAGTGGAGCTTCGGTTTTGTGCGGCATACGCCTCAGGCCCCTACATGCCTGGTGAGTAAACAACAGCAAATTGTTTTTGTCGGTTCCCTCTGAGCGTGTTGCTTCCGAGGAACGGTCGTTCGGAGCTGAGTATTCTATCCGTGTCCGTCTATGCTCCCGGGAGCTGCCCGATTTGACCAATTGATCCCGCTCACCTCTGGCGACGGGAGCCTCAAGCGCCGTATATCTGTGCCATAACGTCCCGGAGCTAATGGGTTGAAAGACACCGTGAATCTGCATTGACCGTTGTGCGGGAGTGAGACGAGAATCGAATACGAAGCGCTGTCTCCTTCCATACACGGGTTTGATTTCCGAGAAGTGACCGCAGCTCATTGGATGGAAAGACGAAAGTCGATTGGTTGTCCGTAGCCCGGGCCCAAGCACGCGCTCCACCTCGAACCGTCTGCGAATGGTAGATCGGGCAACTCCTCCTTATCCCGCTCAAAGGCATGAATCATGTGGCTGGGGACTCCCTCACGATAGCTACAGCCGTGAAACTTCCTTGTTCATCGATAGCCCTAGACTCATCTTTCTCCGTTCGCGAGAACTTCTGCGTGGAAGATCCGCGAGCGGTGATCGTCGATTGCGCTACGGGTGGCAATACTTAGGAATTCGAATGGTTGCTCCGATCATCGTCTCCTTTTTCGATTCCGGCGACACATCCGGTGTCGTACACCCAAGATTCATCCAGAATTAATGATCTCAAACGACGAGATCTCCCGGATCATCCATCGCCCCTCTAATACTTCGAAACTTCCTCCTTTCCAGGTTCTAGTCTCTGACCTCCCTTGGCATGACACGTTTTATCGTCTTCTGAATCACATCGCCGACTTGACTGCGAAACGAGAAGACTTTCTGGCGGAGGATTTTCTTGATAATCTATACAGAGCGGCCGTCCCTCAGCCGGGATTTCAACTGGTGAGGCTTGTGTGCATGCAGTGAAACCTGTCTATTCGAACCACACGCGGTTCCATCGGAACTCGGGGCGATAACCCGGGTGGTCCGATTACGCGTCCAGTATATTGCAGGCCTCTATGGTGGATGGTTGCGGGGGAGACGGTCCCATGAGCCAGGTGGTGACTTAGTTAGGTTTCAGTGAAAACATATTTGATTCGCATCCAGAGATGCCTTCAAAAGTAATTACAGTCTCGTGGAGTGTGAGGGAGATGATTCCTCCAGATCCGGGGGGAAGCGGGATGGGAAACTCCTCGGGTCTGGGAATTCAAGCTCACGAGAGTTCCAATCGTCTGCGAAAGCGAAGTTCATTCGGTCCAGTTTTTCTCGACAATGCGTGGAACTCCAATCCACTTTTTTTGTCCGAACCGGAGGCGTCGGAGTCACTCAAGTGAATAAAAAAAAGTTTGCGGCCTTCTGGCAACTGATCTAGAAACCCTCCCAAGGTCAGAGCTGCCATCCACTTCACGCTGCAACGCTCGAGGGTCCGATTCGCGGCTTTTAACTCTTGAGGCAGCCCCGTAGTCTGACTGTAACCTTAACTCTCGTGCCAATCGAACTCCTTGTTGCTTGGAAGCGAAGATCTTCTGGGAATCCGTTTTCGAATCGGAGCATAGACATTCTGATCATTTCGCGCTCATTGTCGTTGGAAGCTTCGACTTACTTTAACATCCCTCTGTCAGTCGGTTGATTTGTCGATCTATTTCCCCCACTGTTTGCTCGGCGTCGCTGTCGGCGGCGAGTTGAGACAGGTGAGCAAAACCGCGTTGAACTCTTTGCTTTTTTTCTGTCTTGACCTAAATTCGGCAGCGGCAGCAGCACCAACCCCGATCGGCAGAAGCGCTCAGAACACACCTTGTCGGGCGGATCGGAACATTCAAGACTCTTAACGAGATGAGACGACAGAATTGTTCCGTCTTCTTCATCTACTTCGACTCCATCAGGCCGTCCCGCAATTTTGAAGTGGCTCCTCGATCCGTCGATATCGATCGTCTTTCGATGACAGGACCAATCGACGCTACACAAAATCGGAAATCTCCGCTAGCGGAAAAGGTCGAAAAGTGGCACGAAAACTTGAAGAGGTCAAAGTGAATATTTTGATTACAGTTGATAAACTATAATCATGGACGGTCCGCCTGGTCCTGTATCACCTGTGATCATACAGCAACACCTTCGATCCCGGAGGATCGAAATCTTACCGAATATTATAACGCTTGCGATCATAATATTATGATCCAGATATTCACTGCGATGTTGCATGAAAGAAGGATTGTCATTGTGTCCAGGTGGGTTTCGGAATTTGCGAGGGTGTCCGAGGGAAGAATCCTCACCCCGTTTCCGTACGTCCTAGCCGAAGCGCTCGACGGGGATATTGCGGGGCGTGTACACGTCAAGGTTCTAACTCTCAGTTCTCCCGCAGACGTTTGAATCGATTGTCCTCGTGTGTTCAAGCCGCCAATTTGTTAATATATCCCATGCAGTGGCAACACCTTTTCATACCGGTTCTTCCGTTGGGACTCGTGGACACCCTCAACGCACCAATGCCTTATCTGATTGGTGAGTTAGTCGACTTTTTCCACGAAGTTTCGCTACTCAAAAGGTCTTTGCTTGGTACCCCTATTAGTTCTCTCGTGATTGTTCGGTGGTGTGTATCGGCAATATTGAATACCAGGAATACGTACTTTTATCAATATATCGTGCAAGTTTCTCATTCCTTCTCATAGGGTCCTTTTGGATAGGGCTTCCCGCAAGAATAGCTGGGGAGATGATCTTGACAGAATATCGTCCGTCGACCGGTCGCAATGATTTCTGTATTCGTGCTTCGCTCCAATGATTACCAGCTAGAGCGATTCGATAGCTGGCTCGATCGCAGATTCACATCCGACGAACAAGCTGCTGCTTAACAGCAAGCACAGCTGATCTGCTAACAGTCGAGAGCTGAACGTATGCATATTTTCGGTTCCTTGTGAACTCGAGGTCTCTCGCACAGAGGGGCTGGCGATTGAGGCGAAGCTAGTGCCAGTCAGGAAGTAGTCGGACCGTTCAATGACGTTGAGCACCAGCGACTCGAGTCTGACCAATCGTTGTTTTCATATTTCTGTCTGCTTGATCGTGACGCTTCCGTTTCGTTTATAGGTGTGCCCTCTTCGACATGGGAACGCGTCCGTCAGTCAGAGATGGGTGATGTCGTCATCTATCACGCGGACCAGAATGTTTTTACGAACCCGTTCCATGACCGGCTACCTCAGGACTTGGAACAAAGCTTGAAACACAAGTTGAAGATACCTGACGCTCAATTAGGTATGGAAACGTGGAGGCTGCTGTCATCGTGCGCCCCTGGCATCGAATCTGATATGATCCAATTTGCGACCGATTCGCCGGCCATCCAGGTGGTCATTCGAATCGGGGTCATCGTATCTCCGGACGTATACTGTGAGAGCATCCATCCCGGGCCGTGAAAGACCCGGGACACGGTCGAATCACGAAATGACACTTTATGATAGTCCAAATGAGGAGAGAACTTGAGCTGAACTGGTAATGGACCAAGTCGGAGTGTTGTGCTCCCGCCGGAATCATAAATCAGACGAGTGACGGCTCCTTGAGCTTTCCCGAACTGGGGACTTCTCACATATCTTGCTGCATTGGACGTGGCGGGAAGTAATTATTCACGATAAGGCGACAATATTTCGCTGATGCCACCGAAAACGCGTCGGCGCATCGAACGCGCGGTGATGCCTCGAGCCGTCGTTCTATCAGTTCTATGTAGTGGAGGATTCACCGATTCCCGTATTTGTGTCATCCGGCCGTCTTCGTAGCTTCATTCTACCTCATGGATGTCCATTTTACTCGATACGAGCTGCCCGCGCTTAAGCGTAATGACCGTTCTTAAGCGCTGCTGTTATAAGCGTTCTTACACGAGCCGTTTTCCGCAGGTGATAATTTTGCTCAGGCATTCATGCACATCCTCGTCGTACTCATTGGCGATTATCGTTCCGGCTTCTGGATCAACCCCCAAACCGGAAGTGTGAGTTAATTGGACTCGATACCTGGATGGGGCTTTGATGGACTCGAGCAAGCCCCCGAGATTGCGCTTTCTAGACTCCTTATTCGGCAAGGTTTCGGAGCGCCTAAACGAATTACTCGCTTTTCAGGTGGATTTCGACAGGGAGCGTTTCTTGTTGTCCCAACCCTCGTCGTTGCGACCTTTTCTTGAAGGAATGCTCCAGCTGCAGATTTTCGCTGAATTTGTAGAAAATAGAATGCGTAGAGTGAACGAGCCCAACATGGATCGCTTCGAACTAGACGCTGCCATTTTCAAGAAAAATCCTCATAAGTGAGTTCTAGAAGTCTCGCATACGACTCATCGAGTATGAATCAAGTACCCAATGATGTCAGCCTCGATTGTTCATCGAATAAATAGACGATTCGCCTCTCTGCCAGGTTCAAGTACAAGGAGTGGCTCCAACAGAAACCCGCCTCAGCAGTACGCTCCGCATACAAGCAAGTGAAGCAAACCGGAAATCTGGTCAAAGATAAGGGCAAGAAAGCCTACAAAGAGATTCAGACCAAGATAAACAGCGCAGGTACGCACGAAAAGTTCCCGCGACGGCATTCCGGTGTGCCTCCGACCTTGCAACGGATGCATACTTCGCCCAGTATCAGGTTGGGTCCACCCGAGCGTCCACCCCCTCCTGAGCGACCCATTCCCCCTCGGAGGCCGACTTCTCCCCCTCCGGCAGTCCCTGTCGTGAACGATCTTATTTGCCTCGAAGATTCACCGCAGAAGAGTTACGCTCCGGAAGGTTTCGAAGACAGATTCGTTCTACCCACACAAAACGGCAATGGCGCGTCACAACTCTTGAGTAGTTCAGCTCTGCTGTTCCATCATTCCGCATCCGACAACGTTCTGAACACTAGACGCTATTCCATGGATTTCGATTACGGAGGAGAGCCGCAGGAGTACCTGACAAAAATCACGAATGGGCTCCGAATATCGTCAGAGCCAAGCCAAGTAAATCCCGCGAGGGTCCGAAGCGCTACCCGAGCGGGCTTGCCGATTCTGCAACCTCCACCACGGAAGGCGGACCTCAAGAGACCTTCTCATCACCCTCCGCGACCGCCTCGAGGGAGCGCACTCCATCTCTTGAACGACGAAACAAGATTAGGACAGCCTCCTCCTGTTTGGGCACCTAGTAGACCGCCAACCAATCCTTTCGCCAATCCAATATGAGTGACTGTCAATAGATCACATCCCCCAAAATTTCGCTGTTCCCCTTTAAAGAGATTATCCAAGGAAAGTAGAAGAATGTACATATATAAAAACATACCGGTTAGCTAGGAAGAAATCTGTTATCGTTAACTCTCTAGAAAATGAGGATATTTTGGAATACGACGAGACTGGTCGATATATTTTCGAATTACTGGTTTCCGAAGGAATGAAGTCGAATGTTAGGAAGACCGGACCATAAAGAGGAAATTTACTTTTCTGTGCCAAGCCTTATCTTCTCTTTCGCGAGGTTGTATTTCGATTCTCGTCTCATGGCGCTCCCTCGTCGTTATTTCCCGCGGGAATTCGCCACTCCAGAGGATACAGTCAGCGCACTGCCTGCGGAAGCGCTGCTGTCCGGCTTCTCCGTCGGCCACGCCACGACTCCTAGGCCGCTTGACATCGACTGACTGGGACGATAGCTTCTGCTAGGGAGAAACGAGTCATTTTTCATAAGGGTTTATTTATTGTCATCATATATGATAGCAGACTATCAGGGTGGGTCATCTCAATCTATTGCTTATGATGAAACTCCATTCTAGCTTCCAACGTAGAGCCTAGGGTTGCCGTATCGAATGACCATTCGCTTCCTACATAGCGACTTCACGTATCGGGGATGTTGTTCATTAAGTTTCGGTATACCATCATTGCTTCATTCTCAGTATTTTTTCTTTCTTGTCAGCTCTTTCTCTCTCAATAATCGCTCCGAGAAGATGTAGGAGAAACTCGGATAGCGCATGAGTCCACCATCATGAATTAATGCTAATGTTCACCGTGAAGGGACTGATTGCGCACTTTTTCCATTCAGCGCTGGTCGGTTCCACAGGAGTCCCGCAGCGCCAAGCCCTGCACACCGGTCTGGGACGCCCAGCGATTTCGAATCGGAGGGTTCAATTTTTCTCTCCGTCACGCTTGCTTTATAGCCTTCAACGTCATATCAGTGAATAACCCACCCGGTCAAGGCTCAGTCTGCGAATGAATTGCATCAACTCCTATTACAAACATGAGATCTTCATGAAGATCGCATCGTAATGAAGAACACGTCAAAAACTCAAACAAAGAGACGAGGCCGAGACCTACAGAAACGTCGTAAATGAGATTCCTCATGCGGGGGGATTCACGCGTTGCGAGTCTCGATTGCCCCGACTCATTCCAATCTCTCGTGGAAACTAGGATTTTCCTCCTGAGGAAAAAGTCTAGCATTGGCTGCCATGTCGAACGAAAGAAATGCGTACCCTCAACGTCATCAAACAACAGTCAATCTATCAATCAACCAACCAACCAATCGATGCATCGATCCATCAACAAATCTTTCAATCAAAGACCAGATCGAGCAGAAAACTGATACATATCTACTCAATGAAGATCTCTCGAGATGATGACAATGTCGGACTCGACTATCTCTCGGCGAGTCTGGTCGCTACGAATCTGCCCGTTCGTCCATACGCATGATTCTCCGCTCTCTGTCCGTCGAATCGATGATCCTTTGCTCAACAGGGACACGATGACGATGCGGACATCGGCGAAATCGCGGGATATGAGATATGAGAGGGGTGGACTGTCAACAAACAAGCTCCAAACAGAACAAAAACCGCTTACATCTTCCACAAGGTATTTTCGCGAGCGAAGTGCCGGAGAACGGCCCTCGACGCAATGCTTCAAAACATTCATGCGCTCCGCTCATTCGATACTCTATGCATACTGGTCAACCAATGTCATACTTAACACACAGTGGCCTCAAGCCGGCCCAGACGAAATTTCCCGACAGGGAGGCAGAGTCCTATGATTTGCTCTATGCGTCAGACTCATTCAACAGTCGAGCCGGAAGTCTACCTCCGAGTTTGTCGGTGGCATCGAGCATAATCCGTCTCGTAAATCAACACATTCTCCTTCTAAATCTGGGCTCCGACCAACGAACCATGAACTTCTCCCGTTTTTCAAATTGCCTTTCGCCTGATCCATGACGGGCTAATCCGAACTTCTTACATCTATTGGTATCAGGCTGTCCTTCTGCATGATCTCTCAAGATCGCCATAGTCAGCGTCGGGAGCTCTCGGGAATCTCTTTACGGATCCTCGAGGATATCCAAGGTAGGGGGCGAATAGTCGACCGTCCCGGCTAAAACACCCGCTGTCGGCGATCCAGGCTCGTCCGGAGCCCGCTGAACGGTCATTGTTCTCCACGCATTCGAAAAGAGGATGTCGGATTCGAGTCAGTGATCGCATCGATTTTTCAAGTAGAACAGCTATGAATAATGATAAGGTAATGATGGCGTCAATATGACGGCGATGTCCTGATTAGACGGGGTGACGTGCTCCAGGTGGAAGCAGAAACAAACTTTCAACAGAGATCAACATCCCCCTCGGTGGGCGAGGCCACGTCGGGAGCGGGAGGTGGTGGCGGAGGAGGTAAATCGGGGGGCACATGCCCGTCATCCCCCGTCTCCATCGGCACTTCTTGTGGCGAGTCGATCAGCGGTGCCGGCGGCGGTGGCGGCGGCATCGGACGCGACGGGCTCGAAGATCCGTCCTCATCGGCGTCTTCATTGGCTGCGTCTTCGGCTTCGTCGAGAGTTATCGGAGGTGGCGGAGGCGGCATTGGCGGCAATGCAGGCGGCGCAGAGGATTCAACTTCAGTGGGCGAGTCGTCACCCTCAGCTGCTTTTTCATAGTCGCCTTTCTCGTCCTCGGCTTGTTCTTTTTCGTCCTCGTCTTTTTTCTGATGCTCCTTAGCCTCCGCCGCTTGCTGTTCCTCTCTCTTTCCCACCGCGGGTTTCCTCTCGATTGTTGTTTGCGGCTCTTCCTCATCGAAGCTGTCGAAGAATTCTCGAGGCGGCTCGTCCGGCGAGTCGATCACAATATTTACCTGTCGGGGCTGGACTTGTAATTCAGGAGTCCAGCGCAATGAGTTCGGGAGGTCTCCGAGAATTTGTTTTGGAATAGGGAAGGATGACTCATGAATATTTGGTGGAGCTCTAGGAGAGTGACTTACAGCGCTGGTCGGCACGGGGGCTGGGGGCGGGGGCAATGGAGGAGGCCCAGAGGGGGGACCGGCCTCTTCAGCGTCTTCGTCCACGGAACCGAGAGGTTCGGCGGTCTCCTCGCTCGGAGTCTGGACAGGCTTCGGAGGCTCGAAGTTCGGTGGTGGGGGGAGCCCATCGGGGGTTTGGACCATCGGAGTTACCGGAGTTTGGGGCTCCCCGGTGTGCTTCATCTCCTCCACAACCAGTGACGGGAAAGTTCCCGTCTGACGGAATGAATTAGAATTTTTTCATAACAAGGAACGGGAACGGCAAACTCTCAACTTCTGCCCGTAAGAAAAATGCGTCGTAGATGACCTCGAATTGAATGCGTAGATGCATACTCGTGCCGGAAATAGCGGAAAACATACCCTGCCGTTGAATTCTCCCGTCCACCAGCCGTCATCAACTCCATCGGATCCAAGTTTGCTGACGATTCTGATGACGTCTCCCTCGGAGAAGCTCAGCTCGTCTTCACATGTGGACTCATAGTCGTAGAGAGCTCGGCAGTACGGCTGTTGACTTTGTTGATGCGTTGCAGGTGTCAGCGACGCGGGCAACGAAGTGGGTGGCACTGGCGTCGCAGCGTCGTCGTACGCGACAGCGCTGAATGATTCACCTGTCGGTTCGGACGTGGTCTTAGACTTTCCTGTCCACTTTCTGAGGGCTCGGAATTGGAGGGAGCTTGGAGGGATTTCTTATACGTACCCGCTGTGGAGAATCCACCTTGGTTTTCCGATTGTTGGACGTAGTTCGCAGGGATGTAACCCTCCTGTCCTTGGGCGTTACGTGCGCGAATCCACCCGTCGCCATCGCCCTCTAGAGTTCCGAAACACATTAGAATTGAATTGCCGCTCTTTCCGCTCCTGGATTCGAATTCCTTGATATTGGACAACGCTCGCCAGAATGAAGCTCACCGTGGACGCATTCGAGCTCTTCGTTCTCGACGAAAGAGAGCTCGTCTTCGTTCGCGGCCTCGTACGTGTAAATCGCAACACAGCGACAGCCGGCGCTCAATTGGGCGGAGCTCCAATCCCCGCTGTCCTGGGCCTCTTCTTGCTGATTCCATGCTCCAGATGAATAATCAGCGCTTGACTCTCCTTCGAGAAAGTCGTCGAATCAGCCTTGTTTATCAGTGTATTGTTGATATGTATAGTTACGCACGCGTGCGTCAGAGGGCGATTCCCTACCGTAGCTCAGTGGTTGTTCAGTAGCTGTGACCGGGGCTGCGGATTCCCCCCAATCCACTGATGTGGGATCCGCGAGAGAGTTATCGACTTGCTCTCGTCCGTAGTCCTGGCAGTCCTCCTGCTGGTAGTCTTGCTCTTGGTAATCTTCGTAGCTCTGCAAATTCAACAACTATGAGATAGGAACCGATGTAATCACTCATGTCATTGGATAAGATCCTTCGGAGTCTGGTTGACTCCCCGGAGCAATGGTTGACCCTGTCGCCGACGAATAATCTCGGGTAAGTCCGGGATATGGGCACAGGAACGTAGCACCAGAGAAGCTCACAATGTCTAGATAGCCTACCTGCGAGCTGTTCCGGTTGTCTGCCTGAGCATCTTCGTCATAAGAATCTCTTTGACGAGTTTCTTCGGCAGCCTCACTGGATTGAGAATCGGGTCGCTCCTCGGCTTCTCTTGCCTAAGCGTGGGATCGTGTTAAATATCGAGCTATGGGTAGTGATTCGTAGTATTGAATCAGCTCAGGTCAGAATGTCGACTCGCCCGGCATCGATGGATCGGGATCCAAGAACTTTTGGTCGACCCAAATCCGTTGGAATTAGCCTCCTACTGGCTCTCTCCCCTTCTACATATCTCGAGCTGATACCGACTCTACAACCCAACTCTATGCAGCCGCCCTCAGATCGAGATGGCAATGCTTGAGCATTATCGAAAACTTCGGAGGATTAGGACGCTTTCCTTCATGCGAAGTGCAAATTTCCCACGCGGAATATGAATTGCGAGCTTGACTTACGTCGAAACTTCGTCTCGAAGCCGTGCTGCCTTTCCTGGTGAGCTCTTCAATCTGGAGTGAGTCAATGTCCAGAGAGCTGAGGTATTCGTCGACGTTGACTATAAAATGATCGGCAATTGAGTTCAAAACTGGAAGGCTGAACTTCCTTTGTGCTTGATGGACAGGGAACATATCCTGCTACGCACGACTCGAGAGTGAGAGTTATTCATCTAGCGGTAAGTGGAATCTCGTGTGTAGAAGGAAGTTAGCTAAACCCAAGCTGATTGAAATCACCTTGTCCAGCGCGGAGTGCGTTGAGTCGCGCCTCAGCTTTGACGAGACCAGTCTCAGCTCTTCGAATGATGTTTTTGTACTCTTCGATTTTCGAATCGATATCTTCGCTCTCGCCGCTGACATTCTCGACGGTCTGCAAAGAGAGCATCTCTCAGCCGAGAAGTGGAATACGTTCGCTGATATTCTTCAGCTTGAAAATTGTCGGAGCGGGGAATTCTCAGGGAGAAGCATATTCGCACCTTTTCTCCTTTGTCTCGTTTATTGATGAGCTTGTTGAGCTCCCGATTGGAGTCGCGGAGGACCCGACACTCCTTCATGTAGGCAGACGCCCAGCGTTTGGCGTCTTTCTGCAGAGCGTGCTCCGCTAGATGGTCCGTGCAAATGATACGAATTTCATCACCGTCGCATGCATCAAAGTCATAATCAATTTTCTGGCCCAGGGTCGGATTATCGGCGAGATACTGATCGATGGAATATTGCTTTGTTATCTTGGAGGCTTCTTCCTGAATTCGACCGAAAGACGAATTGCAAGCAGCCACGGTCAACAGTTCGGTGCGCGACATGAGCACGAGATATTCCCGAACTTTTTCCGAAATATCGCAGTCCAGGTTCTCCAGTACATCTGCATCGGTGGACACACAGAATTATAATCCAGTCCGACGAGCAGACATCGAGGTCATTAGCCCTTTTGAGAGGGTTAGGGACTAGGGAGCAGATGGAGCTTTTCGTGTAATTTCGGTAAGGAGAAGGCGTATTGCAGTGCAAAACATATATCGAACCTCGGAGAAGTGAATGGCAACGCCCAGACCCCACCCACCTCTGAGATCAGTCTCGTAGTATCTTTTCTGATGGGCATTGGCGGCGGCCAATGCAAGTATGTAATCGTTTCTGGCCTTTGTCGACTGTATGTCACAGGCTTCACGCCGACTTGAAAACTGAAATCCAAGGGAGATCAGTCAGGACATTCACAGCTTGTTACTGCACTCCACGTAATCCGACTTGCCTCCTGATTCTATCGAGACAGAGGGGCGGCGACCAACCTTATCATTCTTCTTCTGCAGCGACGATATCGATGAGAATATTCCTCCTTTCTTCTTCTTGAGTTTCTCTTCGACGTCGTGCGCTTTGCCTCGCGCGTCATGGGCCATGTGCTCTTCTTCGAAGTACAGTTTCCTCGTCTTGTCAACTTCCAGGACGGTCTGGCGGGATGGCGAAGGGACGAAATTCCACCGTATTAGGGTCAGATTCCTTCTGAGCGATCAATCCGACCAGAGCAGATAATCGTTGCCGCCATACTTGACGCTACCTCACTGATCCCGAATTCTCCGCATCGTATGAGAACCCACCTGTTGCACTTCCTCTTGGTATTTACGGAGAGCGTCGAAACATCGCTTGGCTATCTGAAGCTTCGCTTGTCGGGTGTTTTTGGCATTTTCCGAGATCCGGCTCTGGAAAACATCCGCAGACGCCAGCCTTGCTTTTCCAATCTTCTCGCTCTCGTCAAGAAGCATACGCCACACGCCAAAAACCGATCTGGAGCGAAAAAATCCCGACGCTGAATGCGCGTATTTCAGGACGCGGATCCTCCCAAATCAGAAAGGAGCCTGAAATGGCTGTGTCGCTCCGATGGATATAAGCATCATTCGAGTTTATCATAATCCCCGACCATGAAAGAGTGATCTTATTGCGAGCACGGGTTATTGCGCGTGTGAACGATGCCAGCGCAAGCGTCAAGTGGCTCCATTATCACAGAGCAGGATCAGATCACATTCTCGCAGGAATGCTCGGTGGACGATAAACCCACGGAATTCGCGCCGACCCCGGTCTTCGGGCACAAAAGGCTGTTCACAGAGAGATTCCCTTGTCGACCTCCAACGCCGACGTTTCTGAGACTGCTTCTGAGATCTGACTGAATTTTCCGTTGCTTGCGGCCTGATCTATTCTTCGCTCCGCCGATCCCATGCTCGTTGTTCCTCTCAGCTCTGAGGGAGATAGTTTTCCGGATGGGGGATCACACCGATCGTTATTTGAAACATCACGATTCCCCCGCCGACATGGAAAATTCAAGGACGCGCTGAGCGGTCAGGTTGAATCAGCGAGGAGTTCACGATGGCCTTCGCCTAATGGACTGCCTGTGGGTGTGGCACGAAGTGTGTGTATATTGTATAGAGGCACTTCTGAGCGGGGGAGAATCACTCCGCGAGATAAACATGCGGGTTAGAGGAATCTATTCTCTCCGATCATCTCGAGCGACGATCCACATCGCATTTCAATTCTATGATCTCCCGGATATCGCTTGCTCTTTTTAATACTCTGGTCAGATCTCCGGCCTCGGATGGAGACGCATGGGTCGACTCATCACGGCTGCTGCAGCGGCTTCCAGAGTCAATCACTATTACGAGGCATTATGTGCTGGTAACAATACAACGCCATCCGCGGAAGGATAACAATGATAAATGTTTGGACGAATATTGTCGCTATCTGCTGTAATGACTTCTTTCTGGGTCGCACCGGCTTGCATCACAGATTGACAGCGGCGACGAAGACGCGGCATCACAAAAACCGCGTGACTTCATTACGGATCTGCGAACCATTCACTCATGCGCCTTGTTTGATAGCGCATGATTATTGGAAACGTTATTTGACGCTCGTCGAGGGAAGCACCTCCTAGACCAGGAGCAGTCTGCTCACGGTTTCCCGTCAATCTCATATCAGCCACTGCAGCAGGGAGAGACGCGCGCGAAGCACTCCTCTTCCCGGGCCACGAGCTCCATCGTCCTGATCCACACAAGGAAAGAGCCCAACGGATTCATCCTACCCATGGGATGAGTGAAGGGAATAATAAGGGTAGTTGATTGCGGGAGCTTCCAATTGTGTACCACCTCGGAGGCCCAGAATGCGGAGTCACTCCGAAAGTTTCCCTCTGCTCCCACAGATTTTGGGGATGAGATATGAATGGAGATGTCTACGTATATCCTCTGATTTATATCGAAGAATCGGAACCACTCGTTCAACTCACTTTATATCGGCCCTGTCTTCAGTTTTGTAGTCTATTCCAGGCGGAGGCTTCTTGGCGAGGTACGTGGTTGCCAACTTCACCATCGCGGTTCCGTAATCCTTCTCGATTTGCGCTCTTATTTTGGTGAAATTCCTATCCGAGAAGAGAGTCTAAGTCAGAGTCTCGTCTCAGAACGGGTCGCTCTGTTTGCAGGGTTCGGAATTTCCTCTAAATGTCCAACATACCGGATGTCATCCAACAACTCGGTGTCCTGTTGATGCTTCAGATGAAGTTTAGTCAACTGTTCCGAATGCAAAGTTTTCAGATGATTCGACAGCTTCACCTGGAAATGCATCGAATGGGATCAATTTGGAGCTTGTACCCCACAGAAGATGATGAAGAAGCTCCCTTATTGATTATATGCTTTTCGAAGGATGCACGGAATCCCTTCATGAGAAGCGAGGACAGAAAAGTATGGCTACCTATACGGCTCTCAGGAGCAGATAGGGTGAAGACAACGGGGACGCTCTCTCAATTCCATAAAGAGGAGTCGGAAGCCAAGACTGGAAGTCATCGAATGTCTTCCATTGCGGGGCACAATAATTAGCATCATCGCCGTGAGCTAGAACGTCATCAGCTCCGCGCTTCTCATCGATTGAAATGTCAGCTCTCTCCCAGATACTGGGCAGACGTTGCAGACGATTCAAGCTGCGTGATCTTTACCACAGATAAAAATTCGCTCTCATTAGCATATGGATTCCGGCTTCGTGATCTGGATACCCACCTAGAGCCTAAATGAATCAGTAAACGAAGCTAAAACATTGCCAATTCGCAGATAGAACGGATATTTGAAGCTTCGGGCAACCACCTCACACAGAAGACAATCATTCGTCTGACTTCAGATATCCGCGATTCCGGAGCGACAGCGGCTCCCGCGAATTCGAAGAGATTGGCGCATGTGCTCGGTTGAGCGAAGAGCTGCGTCGGATGTGGGGAAGGCAGAATTCTCCCCGGAATATTTGAGCCCATTCAGCGCACGAATCTCAAACTCATTAGGAGTCAAAGCAGCAGAAAAATTCCGGAGACGCCTCGTCCGTCACTCACGAATCGAAAACAGTCTGAGACGAGCAGATATTTCGCGACATGGGAGCAACTTCCCGAACTTGTTCAGGCCTTATCCGGTTAGCTTGTTCTACAGTCTCTGACACCCAGTTAGCGCGGAGCCCCTCAACAAGGATCCGAGTCGCGATCTTGTGAGTACCGCTGGTTCGAGCGCGTACCGATAATCGGATGACACGGAATCCGCTTCGCTGCGTTGCCAGAGAAGCCTTTACGACGCAAAGGTTGACGCCGAATCAAGTATCGTCATGCTGCGCTACTCCGTCCCTCGAGGCTATCCCCTTCGGTCCCAGGGGACAGCTTAAACAGAGGGAAAAGATCGCGCCCGACCTAAGGATGGCGAACGATGCGACGGAGACCACTCACGTATCGGGGATCGAATGATACTTGACCGAATCATCGCTTATGATCATGGGATAATTTTTTTCGATGTGCATCGGAAGGAGTTTATCCGATGAATTATTCAAAGTATGACTGTGACATATCGCCATCATCAAGGGGTCGGGTGACAACCGGAGGAATCTTGAACGTCACTCGAATACTTCGAGCCATGAGCAAGGGACCGTGGGCCCTCTCGAATTTGGTCTGGCAGAGGAAGGGGCTCCCTGATGCTTATGATTGACGTACACTCCGCGAATGCTGGATCGCATCCGAGGAAATTTCAAAAAGGACCTCATATCGTTGTTGGGTCTTCCCCACGGACTACCTTTCTAGGTGGAGGCTGAGCTTTCACCGACATGGCTGAATGTGTTCCACTCGAATACTATGAGATATCCACGAATGAAGAACTCTCCCGACGGAGACGGGGACGTCTGACGTTTATCTTCCCGCGGTTCACACGGCCCCCATGTCGAGTCGAGGTCCTCTCTGGACTGGTCTTTACGATTTCTCGAGAATAATGTCCAAAGGATTTTCAATTTCGCATTCCCCGCACACGATCACCTATTTCAGGTGTCAGCGAAATCCTGAGAGAAGGGTGCAATTCTCACATTCTGTTCTCAACTGTGCTCGGATCACAACCCCGAACAGCCCACACTGTCCTACTAAGGAACAGGAGGAAGACCTGGCAACTGCGTCAAATCGAAACCACTGCAGGTCAAGTGGCCTTGGGCCCCCGTCGAAGGGGTGTAGCGCCAATCGCGGAACCTGGGACGGACTCGAGCTCTTTCCGCGAGAAAGAATCGCTGGACTGCTTCCGACCCCGGCCGGAGAGCCTCGGAGAATCTGAGGCTTATCATGTCCATGTTGCGGTCCATGAGCCCTCATGGCCCCCATTTTGAGCCCGAGCCCCATGCCCGCTTCTATCTCTCTTTCGCGCTGGCATGCTTCTCGGGGCGCCATTTTAGGGGCCTTTCGCCTTCCCCGGGGCCGCAGGGTAGACTCCAACCTCAGCCGACGGTGCTTCCACCTGGGGGTCGAGGGCCGATTGAGGCTCCCGCATGCGATGCGCCGTCAGCGGACGCGAGCTCGTTCAAATTTCGCTCGAGACCCTTCTATCCTATATCGTACTAGCTGGACGGAAAATTTCGCCAAATATTCGACAGTATGGAGTCCCATGGACAGGCCAACCCGGGCGCTCCCTCGTGAAACGGGACTTTCTTATTCTCGACTTGCCATACCCCGCCGTGTTCCTGGGTCTTGCCCTCCTTACTTCGCCTGATCGGATGGAATCCGCGTGGTCGAGAGAGATTCTCGTGTTCCGAGGGTATCGAGGATTCCTGGAATCTTCCACGCTCGCAGTATGCCCGGATCCGACGTGGGATTTTCCCTCCGTCGAGGACGAAGTTCCGGCGTCGGAAATAACTAACAAAGCGAAAATGGAAATTTTCCTCAAGGTTTTCTGGGCGCCTTCTACTTTTGAATCTGGAGTCTCTTGGGCGAGTATCACGCGCGACGGCGACATCGTCACCGGGATTGATCCTCCCCTCATGATTTGCTGGTTGTGCGACTGGTTACTTAGTTGGCAGACATGCTCGCAAACTAGCTGCTCGGCTGGCTGGCTTGCTGGCGGGCGGGCTGGTTGGCTCGCTGCTTGCTCGGGCGCTTCTTCCAGTCGCTCGTCGGTTGCCCGCCTGCCTGCCCGTTTGCTTGTGCCAGCGGTTCTAACCAGAAATAGTTAATCGTCGCTTGCGGAAGCCGTGGCAGCGGCTGCAGCAGCGTCGGCTAGTGGTGTGCAAGGTCATCTCTAAAGGAAGGGTCCAGAGGCCGAAACACACAACACTCATCCCTTGCGCTTCTCTCCTAGAGAAAAAGGACCGACAGACGAGAAGGAACGCGGCGGCATCAGCAGACAGCGATTGTCGAGTTACACAATCGATGTCTTGATCGGAATGTGGAGAAAAATGCATATTTCCCTGGTGAGTTTGTCCAATTCAACGGGCGAGGGGAGTGGGGAGATGTGTTATACGTATTTATGCTGTTCCGCTCCTTAGCGACCCATTGTCTCTGTTGAGAACTTCCCCATCTTGTCATCCATTCGAGCGATCGGGAGGAACCGAGAGTTTCTGAGGAGGGTGGACTTCCGTGTTCGGGAAAGCTGAATTGCCCCAGTGGAGCCGGGGGACTGGTGCTCATTCAGGGAGTTGACGGGTCAGTCCCTTGCCGGGAAGTCGTCGAGATCTATCAAAAACATCTCCGTCGACCGTTCCGTGAAGTGAACATCCTAAAATAAGTCATGACCATATCCCTACAATGACAGCCGGTCGCGACCGTGGCGCCTTCTAGTGACGCATAGGGTCTACGCGCAATGCTGCTGCTCCTAGCACTGTCGCCGCTGCGTCCGTATCGGCCAGCCTTGCTGCTATCCATCGGTTGGTTGGTCGGTCGATCGGTTAGTCCGTCGATCCATCGCTTGTTCGGTCGATCGGTCGGTCAGTCGTTTGCTCGGTCGGTCGATCGGTCGGTCGATCGTTTGCACGGTCGGACGGTCGGTCGGTCGGTCGTCGGCGGTGGGAGTAAAGCGGACGGACAGGCGAACGATCGAGCGAGCAGGCAAGCAGGCGGGCGAGTGAGTGAGTGGTAGAGTGAGTTCACGCACCAATAAGCGAGGAAGCATGCAAGTGAGAAAGTGAAAGCCCGAACGCTGCATGTTAACATGCACACGATGCCTTCAGGGCTCTTACTGCAGGACAACGAGCCCCCGTCACCGCTGCCGTCCCACCGAAGCCACACAGAGCCGCCACTCATCTCCCTACGACGACGACTCATCTCTCTAGCGGTCGAGCTGACTGTCTGTCTGTCAGTCAGGCACTCAGTCAGTGAGACAACGGTGGTCGGTAAAGCAGACCGTCAGCCAGCAGCACCCGGTTCGCCAGTCTATCATACAACTTGTCGTCTGACCGACGATTCGTTACTGCAAGCGTGAAGCAAGCGGCGTCAGCGGGCCGTCGATCCGCGCGAGAGCTGCCTACACCATGGTCGTTCTCCCCCTCCGTAACCTCACTTGATCGGATCCGCTCATCGACACGAGCGAACAGCGCAAGCGAGAACAACCTGGGCGACAATAACGACAACCGACGGAGAAACTCCTTACGGTCCTGGCGCTCCCCCAAGGGCGACAGAAACACCCCAACGGAAACACCGTGGCGCCACTTCGGCTGCAGGGTCGGATCTCGAATCCACACCAGCGGCCTCAGTGAATTCCCTTCAGTGGTTTCACTATTCTGAAGAAACGATATCAAGAAAATCCGCAGATAACGTGGAAAGTCTGGGTCATACATAAGTTCCTAGCGAAAACGTGTCGAGCGGCGAGTCACGCGGAGACTGCGGTTCACAAGGCTGGAGGAGGAGGCGACGACAGCAAAGCCGGTCTTCGGCGCGGAGCGCCGGCGACTCCCGCTGCAAGCACGGAGACGACCTCGACGACGGATTCTTGATCTTCGCTGAAAACCGCGTTGGGACTAGCACTGGATACGGCAGACTGGAATAAGAGACAGCGTCAGCAACACCGGGATCTGTGAAGGGTAAGCTTTCCCGAGCACTGCGGCTCAGACACCCGACAGCAACCTAAGTCGAAGGGGTAGGCAGAAACAACAGCAGCAGTGACGGTAATGTCCCTTGCCGTGAGAACACGGCACGAGAAGTCCCTCTGTCAGACCAGCATTCAGTCGATCAGCTGGCAAGCAGCGGCCAGAGCAGCAGTGACGGTAGCTGTCGCTCACGTTGCCGCCGATGGTGCTTGGTGTTTTACAGAAAGGAGTGAGTGCGTTAGTGAGCGGGCGGGCGGGTCGGCGAGTGAGTGAGCTAGCGCAAGCAAGCAGCTGAGCGAGTGAGTGCGAGGGCCGTATTGGTCGCGGCCGCAGTTTGTCTTCTCTCCGCTTCTCTCGCGGGCTCATCATAGGGCTTCTCTCTGCTCGCTCGCCACTCTACGTTGTCTCCTCCCGAAGTCGCTGAATGAAGTGCTCTGAGCTCCCCTGAGCGTCCGGAGTTCCGGTGTGTTCACAGTGAGTGTGTTCTGTGATCATGATGAAAACGACGATTGAGTTCCGAAGGATTCTTTCAAAAGTCAGTGTCCTACCCGGCAGATGGTTTCTCAGTCATTGTCACTTGACCAGTGGCTCTCACCGAGTGTCCCGAGAGTGTTCAGTGTGGTGACGACGACGGCGTTAACCTTCACGTAAATGTCGTGTCTCATTCTCCTTCCCGATGGACTCAGCTCACCGGCGAGTTCAAGTTCGTCGCTCGAGTTCCTCCCATTCTCTTTACTCCATGACCATTCATTCTGACGTTTCCGTCAACGCTTTACATTTCGATGGATGACGATGCCGCACATCTGCGATACTCTGAGCTTCCTACCGCAACCGCGAAGTGGCTTCGTCAAGTTCAAGACCACCTGCCCCATCACGTTGACCGTCGAGCGAGCACCGACCGAGTCAATGGCATGCACGTGAACTACAGGCAGCGCTTTTTTGTTCTGGATGACAACCCCATCTTCGAGGAGCTTCGGCTCCCCGAGGGAGCAAGTTCTGTCAAAATGGAGGCTGTTAAAAAATCTACCGCCATTACGTATCCCAACACCCTCTGTGCTTCCGACGAATGAACTCCCATTCTTTTGAAGATGTGGAATCCAATCCCGCCTTGAGATATTGAACGAATTCAATGCAGTCTTCCGAAGCAGACCTCGCGGGGGACGAACCCCGGGAGAATTCGGCAATTCCGGGGAATCTGGGGAAGAAGGGATTCGTTTGAGGGACGATCACATCTCCTAGAGACCCTCACCGATCAGCAGCTTCTGTTGACTTCTTCCAGAATCGTCCCTCGAGACGTCTTAATATTCATACCCTGAGGTGTCAGCCAGCAACGCACAGCCTCGAGCTCATTGTCACAAGATTTCTCCATGCTCTTTAAGGTAACCGGCTTCGAGCGGAGAGTTTTGCAGACATGCTGCGGAACATGATATAAATATGGGACGTCCTGATATATACTAGTCAGCACTGATGATCTACAGCCTCTTTGAGCGAGTGGATCACGAACGAATTTCCTGTTATGGGGAAGACGCGCAAGACAGCTATCGAGGATGATGACGAGACGTCAATGAAACAGAAAGCTTCGGGATTGAGTCAATTTTCCATTGACGGAAGGGCGGTTATGTTTCCCATAGAGGATGCCCTTCGAATTCAGAAGAACCCGTCGCGGAACCGAATTTTGGTGAGAAATCGCTCGAGCTTGGAATTGCACTATAACTGCGCCTTGGATTCCGCCCTCCCGATGGCAATTTCTGGCGACTCGAACTTCTCCTCC